GTCATGGACAAGCTCGCATTACCCGACCACGGGGGAGAAAGGCTGCCGCTGGATGTCAGCCCTGTTGATGTGGACTTGAAGCTGCGAGCGTGGGTCGTCCTTGGAGGCTGCTGGGCTAGGGATCGGGTGGTCGACAGAAGCCAGATTGGGAAGGCGGCTGTCGCGTAATTATCTGAAATGCCTTCCAACTGTGGCCCTCTGGGACGTCGATCTGTAGTGCCATCTGCGAGTGGTGCTCATAATGACAAGGTCGGCCGCCACTGTTCCAGCAGGGGTTGCGCAGGGGCAGCTGGAGACCCCAAGCTGATGATAGCGATGTGTCGTTGCTGGTGCACTGGGCCTGTTCTGCTGGTGGTGACCACAGACACAGGCGCGGTCAGGTATCGAGCTGCTTCGAACACATCTCGCCATCTGAGGGATGTAGAAGGGGGCGGTCCCACAAGTCGTCGACCTGACTGGAGGTCTGGCAGTCCGGCTGGATCCTCAGGGGCACAATCAAAGACAGTTGCTCGAGTGCGTGTCTCTGGCCTGTGGTGTTGCGTCACGGTGGAGCGCCAGGACCGCAATAGAACGGCCTGCCTCCAAAGTATCCTGCAAGTTCCGCGTGAACTCCACGTCACCTTCCCGCCAGGCATCCAAGGATTCAGGTTCACCCTTGATTGCTCGCCGAACTGCCAAGGCGTCCAGGAGGTCCAACACGCACGACGCGGCAGCCTCCTGGAGTTTCTGTCGCCAGCCTTCGATATGCTTCTGCGCTGCCCCATCGAGGACAACCGTGGTGCCGACGGACAAGAGCTCGATGCCCAATGCGACCATGTCCTCGAGAGATTTCCTTGTCGGCACTGGACCCTCAACACGAGCCAACCTGAGGCGCTCGTATGCGTCCTGCGCATCAGGGTCGAAAGCGACACAATGCAGAAGCGTCCGCAGTGGGGCTGCAGCTGTGGCCTGGAGGAGCGCATCAAAAGATGAAGGGTAAAGTCATGGCCTGCATCGCACCGCGACAACGTCAAAGGAAGCGAGCGCAGCATCCCCGACGAGCTTGACGTAGGTCTTACGCAGTTGAGCGTCGGAGTCGAACGCCCTCTGAGACTGTCTGTCGAGGCAGCAGACGAGACGCCCCTGTCGGATGGGCCTGTGTGCTTGGAGCCAAGTGCGCCGCCGCCAGGCACTGCGTCAGGTTAGTGTCACCGCCCTCCGCCTCCATATCATCTCCATGCGACGGGCCCGAGCTGTCCAGGTCCTCGCCGAGCATCAGCGTCGGCTGCACTGTTGGATGGCGTCGGCGTCGGCAGTCGCGGAGGCAACGAGACCGGGGCCTGCTGCAGCCGCTCTTGCTGGCAGGACTGGCATCTGCTGGGACCCAGAGCGAGAGCTCCGAAGAGTGGGCATGCCACGTGTGGGCAGGAGAATTGGAGAGCTGGTATGTGGGGTGGTGAGCTCGACTTCTACCGCTGGCAGCTGGCAGCTGGGGGACACCTGCCAGGGCGCTCGGCGCACCTGGCGTTGCACCTGGCTCAGGGAGCCGAGTGAGCAGGGTGGCTGGTCCAGCCCCACACAAGCGGAGGACCACCTGCACAGTCGACCCATGCCAGATGTGGCAGTCTTGCAGGGTCGGGGCGTCCGCCAGCTGGCGTGCAGCGAATAATAGGCGTTGGGAGTCTGGAGGGAGAAACTCTTTGTCCCACGACGCTGATCGTGTCGGTGGCCGCCATGCCGTCCAGCGTGATAGGCTTAACCGTCAGCGTCGGGTACTCACGAAAAACTGCACGTCCCCGTCGGGGTGCCGCGCGTCCGCAAGGTGCTGTGCGGCCTCGGCGTGCGGCTCGTCCTCACGGCGCGGGTACCCCTGGCTGCCAGTCGGGGCCTCCGCGACGGCGTCGCTCACCGGCATCGAGGTCGTCGTGAGCGTCATGGCTGTCGTGGGCGCCGTGGTGGTCGTGGCGAACGTGGTCGTCGCCGAGCAGCCCGAGATCCAGCCTGTCAGGCGTGATCGTCCTCGGACGTGTCAGGCCAGGGGCAGGCCCAGCCAGCGTTGACCCGTGTCCTGTAAACGAGGCCGAAGGAACTGACAATAGCCCAAGGCTCGGATCCTCGCGTAGCTGGTGGGGTCTGGTGGTAGCGCCAGTGATGGCGAAGGTGATGGCGCTGCAGCTGACATGAGTGCCATTATCGGTGCTGGCGGCGGTGCTGGCGCCGATGCTGCCGGAGGCGACGCTGCTGGAGTCGGTGCAAGAGTCGGTTCCAGCGTCGACGTTGCTGGCGCTGGCCGCGTCGAGCTGCAGCTCGATGACGCACGGTGCGAGGTACTGCGGCAACTACCGGTCAGCTTGGCGACCAGCCAGGTCGAAGCGCGGGGTGGCGTGCGGCAGGGTGTAACCCTCGTGCATGGGCACCGTGTGCGGCGCTCCTTCGCCAGAGTCCTCGAAGATGCCTGTGGTGCGCCCAAGGGCGTGCAGCGAGGGCACTGTGTGGATGGCCACGTGCATCACCCGCACATATAGAATCTCGAACCTGGTCAAGATCATGCACTCGGGGCTCGCCGTGGGGATCAGGGGCGCTCCAGTGAGGGGCTCTGAGTGCTCCTCCGAGTCCACGCGAAGTTCGTTGTAGAATGCGTGATGCTTGATCTTCTCAATGTCGTCCCAGTTGGTGGCGTCGGCGACGACGTGGACGATGGCGCCACTTCCGTCGTCGATGCTATCGTTAAGTCGGTCCTGTCCCCCTACAGGGGGATGTTCGACGAAAAATGAGAAAAAGACAAAAACAAAAAAAAATGTCCAAAAATAGTCTGGGGACTATTTTTTGAATGTGTTTGACCTTTTGTTCGGTATTTTTACGGTTTTTTCCAATTTGTCGTCGAAAATCCCTCTGTAGGGGAACGCGCCCGACATAATGCTATCGTTGATGCTGTCGTTGGCGCTGCCGTGAGTGCTGGCGTCCGTGCTGTCGTGGGCGTCGGCGTTGATGCAAGAACCACTGCCCACGCCCAGCTTGGCATCCCCAGATCGCCAGGCAAAATATAGAACGAGTTCTGAGGGACCTGATCCTACTGTCGCTGGGGAGGAAGGAAAATCAAGTACTCTTTGGACGGGGAGGGTGTCCGCGAGGGTCTGGGATGCGTCAATGGGAAACTGACTTTTTCAGGGTTTGCTCCTGTCGGGCCTCCCGTTTATTATCCCAGTGTTTTCCCCCCATGCGTCCCTGATGTGACTCTCGGCGTTGGCGGCTGTGCTGATGACGTCCACGCAATAGAGAAAACCAGTGTCGGTGATGCTGCCGTCGGTATTGTAGGCGTCCGTGCAGGCGTCGGCGTTGTCGAGCAACGCCCTCGAGCCCACGTTCAGCACCCCGGAAGTCGCCAGAGTCAGTGCCAAGATCTGCGTTGCCTTGCCAAGGCCAGTGTCTATGCTGATGACGTCGGTGCTGGTGTCGGTGCCGGCATCGCGGAGCTCCAGCTGGCCGCCTGGCCGCTGATATTCTGGTGGTCGTTTAGATCCAAGGGGTCCTCGATGCCCTCGACCGCAGTCGTGATCGTGGTGGCAGCCGCGTTCCGGACAGGTATTCTCCTGAGCATGCGCCTGGCGGAAAGGGTCCGGAAACTCTCGCCCTATCTCATGTGCCACCTCCTCCTCCTCATCCATCTTGCGCTCCTGCTCCTGGACCACGTTATCCTTCTCGTCCTCCCAATCGTGTTGCTCGTCATCGTCGTGATCCTTATCCACCTCTTTCTCTTGCTGGCCCTTCTCTGGTCTTCTATCATGTCGCTGGTGATCACGCTGGAGTCGGTAAGCGCGTCGGTGCTGGTGACGACGATGTTGGCGTCAGTACTGGGGTCAGTGCCGTCGTTGTTGTGGCTGGCGTCGGGGCCGGGGTCAGCAGCCGCGGTTGGTCGGCGGCGGCCTGGGCCCCAGCGCGGGGCGGCGACTCCATGCTTGAACGCCGCGATCAAGCTCTCGAGGCCGACGATGCGGGCGTCGAGCTCTGCCATCGTGACCACTGGGGTCACAGCTGGCGCCATGGCGGCGGCTGCGGCCCGGGGCGCTGCATGAAAAATATCCCCAGATCGCGAGTTGGCGAGGACCCCGAGATCGCGATTTGGATCGCAACGTGTTTCAGCATGACGGGAGGGATCAAAATTGAACAATCGCATGGGCGCAGTAAACATTCGTCTGAAAAGTCTACAGAAACTCAAAAGATAGAGGGGGTCGTTTTCGAAATGGGGCTCTCGCCTAAGCGCCGCGCACATACGTCTCGAAAGTTTGCATCAGCTCCAAGGATGGAGGGGGGTCGCCTTCGAAACGGGGCCTTCGCCTCAGCGCCGCGCACATTCACTTAAAAATGTCTGCATAATCTCCAAGGATAGAGCCCGACGCAAAAACGAAGAGGAGGAGGAGGAGGAGAAGGAGTAGGAGGAGGATGAGGAGGAGGAGCGAAAGCTGCGAGCATCGATGCTTAGAGTCAGGAGGATGAGGAGGAGGAGGAGGATCAACGGAGACGGTGGACGCCCTGCCGCCAGGTGGCGGTGTGGCACGCCGGCGCCGGCGGTCCCAGGGAGGCAGGGGTCGGCAAGAGAGAGAAGGGGCGGAGAGGGGGGGCTCGAGGACATCGGCAAGGAGGCTTCCATGGCAGAGGGGGGGCGGATGATATCGAGGCGCCTCGAGGATCGAGTCATGGAGGAGGACTTCGGGGATCGCGGGTCGAGGGGGGCCGCGTGGGGGGGGGAGGCACCGACGAGATTGGCATCGACTCCACGTCATACAACGGATAGCTGCGAAGATTGTCACCGAGCTTGATGTAGGCAGGCGTGCATGCCAGCATGTACCTATTTCGCGTTCCGTAGCCGCTGAGGCTCGAAGCCAGAGGTCTTCCGACCTGCGCAGTCACTTTGAGTTCTTCGCTGCACCGCCGGGGGGGCGCCCGCGCCTCCGTGAGATCGCGCTGCATGGAAGCCAACAGCGCCCGCTCCTCTCGCTGCGCTCGCCGATGTGCGGCGTCGTCTGCGGCGGGCGTAAAAGAGGGGGTGGGGGTGCTGGCGCTGCTCCTCCCCTCCTCTTCCTCGTCCTTCTTCCTCCTCTTCGGCATCATCATCAGCAGCATCATCATCATCACCATCATCAACAACATGATGATGATCATCATCATCATCATCATCATCATCATCATCATCATCATCATCATCATTGACATCACCATCATCAGCAGCAGCATCATCAGCAACAGCATCAGCATCAGCATCATTATCATTAGCAGCAGCATCCGCATCCGCATCAGCATTATCATAACCACATCATCCTTGTCTTCACCACCATCATCATCATCATCATCACCATCATCACCATCATCATCATCAGGATCATCATCACCATCGCAATCGTCGTCGTCAGCGTCGTCGTCGTAGTCGGAATCGTAATGGTCGTCGTCCTCGCCCGTGATCATCCGCATCCACTTCCTTGACGATACCGCACCCCTCCTTTGAAATCATTAACAGATGCCTTCCTCCTCCGAAGTCCTGCTCCTCCTTATCAACAACCTCATCATCAACCTCCTCCTCCTTCTCCTCATCCTCCTCCAGAACAGCATCATCATCAGCAGCATCATCATCAGCATCACCAGCATCACCATCCTCATCATCACCATCACCATCACCATCACCATCATCACCATCATCAGCAGCATCATCACCAGCATCGCCAGCATCACCATCATCACAAGCATCAGCACCTGCATTATCATCATCAACAGCACCATCACCACCATCATCATCAGCAGCACAATCATCATAATAATATTGTTCAGCATCATTATAGAGAACGATTTATAATAGCCGTGATATGTCTCAGAAGAACGTTGCGGCAGCGCGATGCGAAAGCGACGGACGACAGACCCAAACGAGAGAACAGTTCGGCTTGAAAAGCAAATCCCAAAAAGAATAACCGATTCCTGGGCCTGGGGCAGTAGGGAGCAGCTTGACACTTAATGGCGATAGATATAACATGGGGACCCACACAACTGCGCCACTGCTAGATCATTATTGCGCCCGCACTCCCATGATAGAGCACGTTTGACAGTAGCGGTGATATGTCTAAGAAGAACGTTGCGGCAGCGCGATGCGAAAGCGACGGGCTACAGACATAAAAAAGAGTTAATTCGGTTTGAAAATCAAATCCCGAATCATCTCCGAAAACGGATGTTCTCTTGGATAGTAAAGGCTTTCTGGGTCCGCGTGGCCCTAGTAAGGGCAAGTAAGATCTGCACTAGCGCTCGGCATAAAGAGACCGGACAGGCCTGTGCAACGCGGGTCCAGTTGACACCGTCGGGGGCGTCCCTCGAGGGCGAAGTGGGCGGTCCCCGTACGAGAACACACTCCCCTACCTTGGCACCGGCGACGGAGGCGCGAGAGGTCGGGTTCGTCCACCTGCCCGCAAAGAAACCGCGCGGTTTTCCTTCACCGAGTGCCGAACTCACAAAAATCTGAAACAGCCTGGAAAATTCCCTCCATCTCGCCCAGCGCCATCATGGCGGCGTTTTGACAAGATAAGACGACTGATGGTTTTCGATAATCCACGGCACACCATACGCGTGACGCCCACGCGCAAGCTGCACCCCAGCGCGCATCAGCTGCTTCCCTTGCTTCACAGTAGCCCTATCTTGTCTGCACAATTCAGGAACACCCATCGGAAACTTCTTGAAACGGCGCTCGGCAATACTGAACGTCGCACTGGGCGGCCCCATCATCATACCAAGCACGTTCCCTGCCTGCATGTCGGCGATCTGCCCATTCATCACCTCTGGTCGCAACACGTCGCCCTTGGCCCCGTTCACGAGGTCGAAGTATCGAGCTGGGAACCCAGCAAGCTCGGCCGACCGTCCGCAGCCCCCCTGTCCACAGAAGACATCCGCGAAGCAGCGCTCCTCCACACTCAAGTGCCTCCACGGCCCCAGAGCTGAAGCTCGCTCCGCTCCGGCATCGAGATGCCCTCGAGCTGCCTCACGCAGGCGGCCAGTCGGCCGCCCGGCGAAGGGCCGCGGTGGCGCTGCAACGGCTGGCGCACCGCCCGTCTCTGGGTTCTGCGCTGGGACAGCCTGCGCGCTGTCGGCGCTGTCCAGGGTCGCGACCACACTGCCAGCGAGAGACCCGGCCAATTTCAGCGCGATCCTGCCGCCGTCTGATCGGCCGGCCTGCGGACTAGGCACCAAGAACAGCGGCCCGACTTCAACGGCCGTCTGGAAGCCATCGGCCTCGCCCGGCCAGCACGCAGCACGCACCAGGAGCGCGCCCTCGGTACCCTTCAGCGGGCCGGGACGGGCAACACCTGTGACCTTGGCAGACTCGGCCATGGCCACGGTCTTGTCGGCCCTGTCGCACGCGCTGTCGACCGAGCGGCCAGCCGCGCAACCGGTCGTCTCGGCGTTGGCCACGCCACGCCGTGCCCCGCGGCGCGGTCGCGCCCTCTGGAACCGCCGCTCGCGCTGGCGTTCCAGGCGCCGATCGCCAGCAGACCTGCTTGCGTCGGCCGCGGCCGACCCAGCCGCCAGGCCCAGCGCGGACGTCGCCCGCTGATCGTCGTCGCCCGACTCGCGATTCAGCTCGGGAGAGCACCCCGACGAAGCATCTCTGTCCGACTCTGCAACGCCCGCGGCCTGTCCTGCAACGCGGCCCCGGCCGCGAGGACGCACCGCCCACTCGCGATCCGGGTAGCGCGGGTCGGCTGCACGCCGAGCTTCGCGGTCGCCTCGCCGACGAGGGACGGCCAGCTCGCCACCGAGATTGGCCAGCGGCGTCTGACCGGCCGTCGACGCGCAGCCCGAGCTGCCCTTCAGCTCGGCGCCTCGCGCCGAGTCCCCAGCGCCGGCCTCGGCCGCCGGCCTCCCCGCGGCCGCGGCTGGATCTCCAGCCGCCGCGGGACTGCCTACCTCATGCGCCAGGCTGTAGTCAGCAGGGTATTGAACCGAAAAAACTACGATATATTGAAAACGACATTGATGGTTATGTTCACACTCCATGCCGTCGAAAATATCACTGCTGTTGCTATGTACGTTTAAAACCCAATTCGACAGGATCGGCTGCTTCCCCCCGAAGGGGCCATTATCCTCACTAGCATTAACACCCAGGTGAAGGGTGCAAAGGCAAAATGCGCTAGGAAACCGATCACACATTCGATTCGGCTTGTCCGAACTAATAAGCTCGCTGGGTACCTAGCGGACAGAGGTTTTTATATTGCGAGCGAGACAGTAGGCAGCGAACACACGGATCAGATTCAACAGTTTGAAATCCCTGCTTCTGAATCGATCAAAACTGAGACACGCACTCATGTTATCAACAAGGAGGACCTGGCGGCAATCTTCCCCGAACGATCTTTTCATCAACGACAGCACTAGCGCCCGCGCCTCCAGCACCAGGACGGGCCACCTTCACTTCCAGGCGCCCCAGAACCGCGGCACCCAGCGGCCATGCGCCAGCCCAGCCGAGGCCACCTCGGGGAAGCCTGAGTTGACCTCGTACTCGCCTGAGACCATCGCGGCCTCCAGCCCGTCGAAGTCCCCCCCCGGCACCTCCACCTTGGCCGGCGGCGGCAGCCCCGCGAGCTCCCGAACTCCAGCGGCCGTCAGCGCGCGCTCCCGCGCCTGCACCGCTCGGATTGACCTCTTCATCGCTCCAGAGGCTGGCGGAGACATCGAAGCACCACTTCGCGGCGCCACTGGCGCCCACCAGTCGATTCTATCTCGGCCACCAGCCCGAGCACAAGAAGGGCATCAGCCCGAGAAGAGCCCGCAGCTCGCCCCTCACGGACGGCCACAGCGGCTGCTGAACCGAGCAATTCAAGGAGATGAATTTGCACGCCGAATGGAAGCACGATAAGACGGGTCGCCGCACCAGGCCGCAGAAGGCGCAGCGCCCAGGATGACCTCCACCATCGCCCCGCTGGCCCCCCCGCGGTTCAGGAGGTGTCGGAGCGCGGAGCGCAGCCGCCAGCGCCGCTGCTTCGTCGGCGAGGTGCGCTGCAGCTCTCCGTCGAGGACAACCCCGAGCGCCTCCAGGGCGTCGCCCCTCACCTCTTCTCCTTGCACCAGCAGGCCGAAGCTCTCGAAGACCTCCGCCATGTCAGCGAGCACGCGCTCCACCTCCGAGCGACTATCGCCCATCACCCCCAGGTTGTCCACGTACACGTAGTGCCTGAGCTCGCGAAGGCCGCTACTCAAGACGAGAACGGCAGGCCGACCGCGGCCCCCCAGCGGCTCCGAGGCGTGGAGCGCGGGCACCCGCTCCGGCAAAGACTCTCGCGTATCCGCCGGCAGAAGAAGAGACTCCGGGGCAACCCCATGGGCAGCGCCCGCGCCAACGGCGCGATCACATCTCCTGCAACGGCGACGACCCCGTCGATCACCTGGCCGACCATGCCGACGCGCTCGGCCAGCACATCGGGCAGGCCAGAATATCGCGAGAACCACTCTGGCATAATCAACCTGTGCAACGCGCACCCCACGTCGGCAACGCCCACGAATACGGGCACCGCGCCGCCCTCGAAACTCTCGGCTTCGAGCCCCTCGGCCGCGAGCAGCCCGGCGCGCGGTGCCTTCAGAGACCACTGATTGCATTTTCTGCAGTCCAGAATCATGCGCATCTTCAAATGGCCCTTCTTCCAAACAAAGAACAGCCCTGCCCGCTCGATGCAGCTTCGGCCGAACCTCACAAGCCCGCGCTGCCGCGGGCTGGCAATGAAGTCGGCGCGCCACCGCCGGCCGCGGCTCAAGCCAGGGTCCACGCGTGAAGCCACGGGGCCGCCATGCATCAACTTCTGTCCATCTTCCGCCGATCGAAACATTCGTCGGCCATTCCCCTCCGCGCAACGCCAGCAGGCGTCGCACAGCTCCGAGAAGAGGCCACAGTCAGCGACCGACTCGGGCAGCGACACCGCACCGCGACGGCAGGGCGCCGGAGCCCTGCTGACGGGCTCGCATTCGCACGCGACTCGCCCCTGTAGAAGGTCGCGGAAGG